GGAGGGTAGAAGTTCTAGTTTAACAAAATCTGGAGAAATTCCTTCTTCCAGCTTTAAAAATGCTGTTAAATATACTAATTTGTCTGAGCAAACTCAGGGAGGCAGTGAAGGACAGGAAGGCCTGGCGCAATATGGTTCATGGGGTCACGAAGAGTCGGACACGTCTTAATGACTAAACAACAACAACAACTACCATCCACATTCAGTTAGTAAGGACATCTCCAAAACACAAAAAACAACCCATTGTGTATCTACTGTGCTAGTCACCTTGCAGCTTGACTACTGCAATGCTCTCTGCCCTTGAAGATCACCCAGAAGTTTCCACTAGTCCAGAATGTGGCAGCATGAGCAGTGATGAGCATGCCTCTGCTTCACAAGCTGCACTAGTTACCAATTTGCTTCTGGGTGCGATTCAAGGTGCTGGTAGTTACCTGTAAAGCCCTACATGGCATAGGGCCTGGTTACTTGAGGGACTGCCCATCTTCTATAACATCTGCCCAGTAGATTCAATCCTGCAGGGTCAGTGCACTCTGGGTTCCTTTGATTAAACAGTATAATCTCTCAGGACCCCCTAAGCATGTCTTCTCTGTAGCAATGCCTGCCCTCTGGGACAAAATTGCCCCCAAGATCCAGATGGCCCCCATTCTGCTGTGGTTTAGAAGCGCCTTGAAGATCTGGCTCTTCACCCCTCACTTCATCTCTCTTGCCATCTTTTTTTTTCTTTATTGTTTATGTTGTAATTTCTTTGTTTGATTGTTGTGAGCCACCCAGCGTTGTTAAGAGTCAGGTGGCGTACAAGTGTAATAAATTATCTATTATTATTATCACTTCCTTTAATGGATTTTCTAGGGCAAGAAAAGCCATAGCTGATGCCGGCACCTGACTGGGGTTGTCTAGGTTGGAAGCTAAGTAGAGTTAAAACAGGTTAGTACTTGAAAGAGAGGCAACCAGGGCTGTAGGCTGGACTTGGAAATTGAATAACATCTTGGAAGAAAGGTGTGGCAAAAAACTTTTGTACTGTTGGTAAGAAAGCAATATGTATGTCCCCATGAATTCATGAGCTCCACTTGAAAGAAACTTTTACTGCAGGCTGAATCACTAAAGACAAGGTTATTCCTCTAACCCTTAAGCAGAAGGAGTCTGCAGTGAGCTATAGTTCATGAAAAATTATGCCTTTTAGTAAAAGTTGTTAGTCTAAAAAATTGCTACCATCCAGATTGCATCTGATTTTTGGTTACCATGGACTAACACGGCCCTTCTCCTACAATGTCCTCTTGAATACTTCATTAGCAGTTTTCCTCTGTAATAATTCTTGATGTTTTTCCCATTTCTGAAACATGTTCTGCACTTGCCCATAGCCATCTCTGCAAAGGGCCTAACCCTAATTTTCCCCAATGCTCTCATTTTATAATGAATCTTAGTTTGGCTGAAACTTGGAAGGAAAACGCCTGGCCTATTCTTGTGCCTTGAAGCTGACAATTGAAACAGAGTTAAACATCCCATATCTGCCTCTCAAGCTGTTGTTAAGGGTACAGGGTAGGTCCATAACCTGGGAAAGCCAACCTATGTTGTATTAGGTAAAGGCAAAAAGAGCCTTGCAGCTTACCTGGTGTTGCAGATGGCGGGTGTTTTTTAAATTGCCCCCCAATATTCATCCCTTTCAGTAGTTTGTTGCTGGTTTTGGTTGCTATGCTCTCCTCTCAGTGAGAGAGAGCAGCACAATCCTGAGAGAGGGAGGGGGACAGCCAGCAGCCCAGCCATGGATTATTCCTGCTCCACTAGACAGCCAGCTTATGCTCCCTCCACCCCCCACTTTGGTCTCTAATGAGCTGAATTCCTGCAAGTACTTACTGAAAGATGGTGAAATGATGACTAGGGAAGACAGTAACTCATTAATGGACTGAGTGTGTGTGTGTGTGTGTCACAATAAAACAGGGGGACAGAGCCAGAACAGAGACTGAGAAGCAAACAAAACAAAGAAAACAGAGTTTTGGGCTGCCTCTGAATGGAATGAATGGTTGAGGTCAAAAGCATAAAAGAAGACACACTGAGATACATTCTGCTTCAGTACTAGACTCAAGTGGGTTCCTGATTGTGGCTTCTGTACTAGACTCAGCTGAGTTCCTGACTGTGGCTGGATTTTGGATCATGGTACAGGATCCCTGCGGTAGAAATTCCCCTCCCCAAAATGTCTGCTTGGAGCCAGGGGCACTTTACCACCCCAGCAGCAACAGCAAACAGACCTTTCAACAAACAGTTTCAATCTTGGCCTGACATGGGCATTTCTGCTGCTCCTCATAGCATCTTTTCCTTATTTCTTTTTAAAAAACTGTTAAAATCAGAAAGGAAGCAGCGGGACACAGACATATTTATGTAAGCTTATTTAATTACTTTAAAATAATATTACTTTCTGTAATGAAATGGAGATTGGTTCCACTGATATACATGGCAGTCCAACAGCAACTGCTTGGAAATTATTTGCATCTGGATTCTAAAAGCATGTTGCTACCTCACTGGTGCCTGGTCAGATCTCTGCAGAGGGATGGATGAATAAACAATTAATGGCTGTAACTTCAGAATACATTGAGAAATGCTACAGTAGGGTTTCTCAACCTTGGTGATTTGAAGATGTGTGGATTTCAACTCCCAGAATTCCCCAGCCAGCATGGCTGGCTAGGGAATTCTGAGAGTTGAAGTCCACACATCTTCAAGTTGTCAAGGTTGAGAAACACTGTGCTACAGGGAGGGACAGCCAAGGTCCTCATTTTTAGGGTGCTTTAAATTGGAGAGCTGTAGTTGTGCTTTAGGTCTGAAGGGAAACCAACCTCTTTCCCTCCTGCCCCAAGAGTGTTATAAGAAAAAAAGGGGGGAATGGATAACATCTTCAGAAATCTATAGTGGATGGGTTCAGGTATGAACCAGAATCCTGTGGCAAATTGCTCAAGTTAATCCAGCTAGCAGACATGCACGTGTGTCTTAAAGCAGCAACAGGGTGTGTGTGGTTTTTTGGTGCCTTCAAGTCAGTTTTGGATCCTGGTGACGGCCTGGACCAGTCCCTGCATTTTTCTTGGCAAGATTTCAGAAGTAGTTTGCCATTGGCTGCTTCCCAGGGCTGAGAGAGAGAGAGGGACTGGCCGAGAGTCACCCAGCTGGCTTCGTGCCTAAGGCGGGACTAGAACTCCCGGTCTCCCGCTTTCTAGCCTGGTGCCTGAACCACGACACCAAACCGGCTTTCACAGCAACAGATACATTCATAGATTATTGATCAGGAGCAGCTCAAACCCCACTCCAGAAGGAAAGTGATATGATTTTTCTCTGACTGCCATTGAACCATGCTGACACTGTAAAAGTGAGGTTGTGCTGTCTTCTGTAGTTCTGATCATTTAAAACTTACCTTGCAAAGGTTTGGAAAGAGGTCTAGCTTAGGAGAGGGAACAATAAGGCTCTAGCTTTGTTTGTTTGCTTTTGCAGGCCTATAAAAGGAAAAATGACATTAGAGATAAATGGGGCATTTACTGATCACACGGGCATGGGGTGGCAACAGTATCAGAAAGGGCAAAGGTATCTAAAGGAGGAACCCCATATGTGATGGAAGAGTGCTATGAAACTATGAAGTTGAAAGAGGGGGGAACTATGTGCAAGATGGCCTGACCCCCCTCACCCCAACATCATTCCAATGAATAGTAATACTATTTACAACAATTATCTGTTGGACTCTTGTGCAGTTCTGTTCTGCTTAGAGGTCTTGCTTCCCTTTGTAAAATTACAGTACAGAATCTCCTTCTTTGGGCTCATTTAGAAGTCCAAGATATATAAGGCCTTTGGACTGTTCCCTCATTGCTCATTTTTAATAAAATAAATGGACTCACAGCCCAGAACTAGGGGAACCTGAGATTTTACTACGAGCGCCTCCACTCTGATGCTCTCCAGATGAAGGACTGCCACTGCCATCCCATACTGGCCAGAACTTACTGGAATTTTAGTCCCAAGCATATAAACAGCACTAGACTGCCTACTCCTATTCTAATAAAATCTTTTGAGATGCTCATGAGCCCAGGCACCTGGAAGGACATTCTAATGTAGCTTAGCATTTGCTCCCAAGGATTCTCCTGCCTCTTAATACGGAAACACAGACTTCATGGTCCAAACCACTAACTGACCTTTCCCCATAAATTTGTCTAATTCATTAAATCCTGGTGTGGACAGTCTGTAGCCCTCTAAATAACCTTAATGGAATTTGTATTCCAACATGTAGAGGGTTACACACCCATTCCCCATCTTTGCTTTAGCTCCTGCTCATAATGGTGGTGTTCCAGATGACTGCTCATCTGTAACATTTCCAGCTCTCCAATTAGGATAAGCAATCTAAGTTAGTTAGTTAGTTATTTTAAAAAAGCATAGGCTGTGCAGGTATCTTCCTCACTGGATGCTGAATGAAAAATGCATGAGTAGAAGAGTGGGAAATGTCTCCTGGCTTTGCTTTGCCTGCTAGATCAAAAAGAGAACCTCTTTGTAAGCCCTAAAATCATCATACATGTCTATCTTACACTTTTTCCTCTAATTTTCTTCAAAACAGACCAAAGATCCTATGAACAGAAATGTTCAAAAGCTTTTTAAAAACCATTTGTACCGGGGCAGGTATTTTTTTTTACCACCATGAGCTACATTAAAACTTTTTTTTTTCAATCTCCATGGGTAGCAGGAGACATGACAATGATATATTAAGATCACTGAAGGGAACAGGGCTGGAGTTCTCCCATAGAAAATCCTCTTCTAGACCTTTGAGAGGTTTAATCAAATAAAATAGGCAAGCCTACTAACATTTAACATGTCTATTTAAGGCTGATTAAAAAAAATAAGCTGCAAATCATGCCATTATAAGTGTCTTTTTCCCTCCCCCAGAGATTCTGTCTGAACAGGAAAACTATTGACCAATGAGTAAATGACATGAAGCAAACCTATGACACCCCCTGCATAAAAAAGAATGGATAAATAAAAGCAATTGCTTCCCTTTTTTTAATTCCCACTATCAACACAGCTTTCACTTTCCTTTGCACAAAAAGGCAGAGACTGCTTTTACACTTTTGTATTTTTTTCTTTACAGATTATTTTACAATTTGAATCCCGCGAGAAGGCACTTTTGATTGGCAATTTTTTCACACTCTCATCCACGGTTAAAGATTCAGCTTGTGGTAATCAGATACAGACAGCCTGAAAAATCTGAATGAGGAAGAACACCTTCTCCATTCACAACTGCTTGGAGGAAACCTAGTAACATTAATAATGTGAGACTTGGATGTGGCATCTTATTCAGCCACTTCAAAAATTCCAGGAGCATGAGTAGCCAATCTAACTCAGTTGCCTTGGCATGTCTAGATGGAGATTTGTGTGGCTCCTTGGAGCTCTCAAGCTGGCACCGAGAGGCACTTTCCCAGCAAAGTGCTGAGGTTTCCAATACTCTATTAGAGTTGAAATTGGCATGCTGGTACTCTACCTCTAGCCCTCCTGATACAAGAAATGAAATAGGATGTGGCCCCAGTGGGAAGGTGATTCTATGGAAAAGTGAGAGAGGTGTCACTCAAGCAGCTGCTTAAGGGGCTTGCTTGCTGCTCCCGAGGGATCATGATGGGGTTGGTTGGTGTGAGAACCAATATCTGGCGGGAACAGAAAGCAGTGGAGAAGGGAAAAGTGGACAGAAGCACAGACTATGTGGGAAGGCAAGTAGAAAGAAGAGAAAGAAGTCATTTCTCTCCCAGGGAACAATTTTGGGCCCTGTATATTTGATGTAGATGAAGAAGCAAGCTTACTGCGGCATGAGTGCATTGACTGGGTCTCACGATAACCCTTGACAAATTTAGCTAGTAACACTGCCCCTGATGAATACTACCTGATTATTTCATTCCTTCATCTCAGAGACTGTGCTTGGGGGAGGACAGGGGAGGTAGCAGGCACTTGGAGACGGCACAGGCCCTCTCAATAGAAGTGTCAACTCATGGGCAAAAAACACTCCCAATGCATTTCCTTTTATATCAGAAATACGGACAATAAAGCCCACAAAAATAATTACCATCTCCCATGAACATCGTTAAAATACAGCTATAAAAATCTTCAATACTTTTTCCCATTCCTTATTTCCTATTTTTTTCCTAATATATATATATTTATATATATATATAAATATATACACATACACATACATGTTATACATATTTATATAATCTAAAACGTGCCCAGTTAAAATTCTTCTACATCCTGTAAAAAATACAAAATCCCCCCAAAGTGGGGTGCACAGGGCAACTTCCTACACAGAATTTGGGTGAACCTCAAAAGGGAAGCTCTTGGTTTGAGAGCGCTAATAGGCCCAAGCTGACTCATGGCCTCTTGGGTTGGGGGAGAGGGGAGAAAGATTTCTTGGTCCTGCCAGAATGAAGCAATTTCTCAATTTCTCAACTTACGCCATCAAACACAGCATTAAGGAGGCAAGTGAGGTAGGGTGAGAAAAGGAAATAAGATACAGTTCAGATCAGGCCAAGTTTAGCTACTCCAATGGGAAAAACTATGTACATGCCAAAGAGGGCTGGTGCTATGATCCATTGAAGCAGCAAAGAAATATGCAATACAAGTTTACACAAAAGTAAATCACTCTTTAACAGTTTTCTGCCCAACACGTGTACATAAATTGTAACCTTATCTTTTTTTTCCTGGAGGGGTTTCTGTGGTTGGAGAAACAACAAAAAACAGTCTAAGAAACGCCACAAGACTCTTTCTTGTTAATTCAACCTAATATTAATATAGATTGGCTTAAAAGATAGTATGGAATGATTAGAGAAAATTTTGTACTACGTTTTACTTTTTCTTACTTCAATTTCAAAAAATCTTTTAGAAATACTGTACATTTTAAAATGTGTTTTGACACAGTTTCACTGCTGAAAACTGTGATACAACATTTAAAGAGCTATAAAATCTGGAGAAAGCTCTTCAAAGCATATTTTCAGTGTTTCAAAGCACATGTTCATCCAGGAAGTGCAAATCTGGCAAGTCATTGAGAAAATTGCCAGGTTCAATTTCTCAGACACCCCTAAGGAGAGACTATAGACATATGGGTCTTTCCATACAGTACTAACAACAGATGCCATATCTACAAGAAGCAGAAGGGAAAAAAAGGAGACAGTAGGCTTGAGGAAAAAGAAAGCTTCTCTTGTCTCTCAATTGTTTTTTCCTTTCTTCCACTCTGTCTTTAACTTCAGCTTGTTAGGATAATGCTGGTTTTTTTTAATGGTTCCTTTGAAATGGAATACAAAATAAAAAGGAACATTTTTGTCCACTGTTCAAGGAATCTGCAGATGCATTGTTGAAAGATGACCTGCTGGATTTAATAATCAACTTCAAACATGCCTGATTTGACAGCTGTGGTTGCAATGCCCTGTTCAAAAGATTTCTGAACATCCTGTCACTCTTAGGAAGAGGGAGCAGTAGGTTAACCAGTACTGCCTGGTCAGATCCAGTGATCAACCATTTCTGGTCCACTGGAACAGTAAACTGGTACAATCTAATTGTAAAGTTGTTAATTATTAAAGAAGACAGCTCAGTAACTCCTTGGCAGTGAAGTTCAAAAATGAGCTACCAATGAGAACCAAGACCTGCCTACCCTAAGTCTGAACTAGAGTTCTTGAGGTCTATGGCATCTTTAAAACAAAACAAAACCAAACCAAACCAAGAGCAATAGGCAAAGGCACAAGGAATTCTTATATTCCAAGAAACATTTTAAGGCAAATGTAAGATGGCACTGGAGAGAAACCAAGGCAAATCCGTAACTATAAGTGGTCACTAGGCAGAACACCAAGACAATTCTTGTTTGGTATCAAATTTCTCTCCTATTAAACAGGCTTCAAAGTTCCTGGAAAAAGTAGGAAGAAACCTAGTGAACCACAGGGATGGGCCAGCTGAGTTTTGCTGAAACGCCACCTTTGGGAACCCACAGCACTATGGACAAAGCAGCAGAAATGGAGACACCCCCGTGCACACTAACTCTGCTTTCTCCTCCTCTTTCTATACCAGCAGGTCCATTGCTTCTAAAAGGCACAATTTCCCCACATGCTCCACAAATCCAGAAAGGCTACAGAATTCTAGGGAGACAGTGGGATTTGAAGGCACTGACTATAGCATAAGACAAAAAACACAGTGGTCAAGGAATACACCTCCCACATCTTCTCTCCCTCTTTAGCCTAATTCCACATGATGTTGAGTTCCTGTCACTGAGAGGATAGTGTAAAAAGAGGGCTCAGAGGCTGGAGAAGGAAGAAGTCAGGGCTGACACAGAACATGGAAAGGGTGCAAAGAGGACAATTCCAAAGTATTCAACACAGATACTGTAGGACAGTATCACTAACATCTAAGCTGACGGGTGGAGCGGGAGGAACCTGTGGCCTTCCAGATATTGTTGAAGTACAACTTGTGCTCCCTCATCAATGGTCATACTAGCTGGGGAAACCAGGAATGTTGTTCAGCAACATATGGGACCATGGCTTCCCAGCTTCTGTCCTTTAATATCAGAATCTCTTAATTCTAGAACTTGTTTTAGAAATACCCTATCATTCTGTTCATCCCACAGTATTTTCTTTCTTGTCAACCATATTTCACTTAGCCGTGAAACATCTTAATAAGTCCCTTCTCTGCATTCCAATGTCATCAGTCTTTTCTCCAGAGCGAATGTCTATATCATGAACCATCTTACCCTGATACAACCAGTCACAGAACTGGCTTGAGAGATCTATTTCCAGAGATCAAAAAGAGGGACTTGTGGGTTGAGCTGCTTCAACTCTTCTTCCTCTTATTCCCTTGCTAGTAAAGGTGATATAGCTGGTTCATCCTATGTCTCAGCAGGAAAAGCACACCTGCATTTCTTCCCTCATGAAACATCTCCTGCCCTTCTGTTGTCCAATTTAGAGAAAAACATGAATAAAATTGGGGATTCTTCCAATCCCTCTCTTCTCCCCTCACTATGTTTGGAAATTTAAATTTTTTTCCCACAAGGGGGGATATTTCCATGAGGAGCGAGAGACAAAACTGACCTCACTATTAGTCCCAAGAGATAGCTTATGTGTAATGGCTATACACAGTCCACAGCCCCTCTGTAGTTTGCAAAAGATCCAGCTCTCAGATTTCAAACCAAAACTCTAAGTCGTTTGATAAAGCAGAAATATGTTCTCTTTTAGAGATGGAGCTAGGTCCACTAAAAAATTCAGTTGTCTGTTCACAACTTTCTATCACTTTTCTGCACCCCTATCCCATCCACACCATTTCAATTCTGCTTGTTCTTTTTAGCTTTTTTTCTCCATCTTTTCTTGAATATTTTCAATCTGAACTTTTCCTAACTCATCAGTCATCATGCTCAGAAACACAATATGGGCATCAAAATCCCCTTTTCCTGAAATTGGGACAATGAAGATATATGCAAAGATGTATCAATGAAGTGCAGTGAATACCTGGGAGTGAAACTTGTGTATCTTTCCCCAAGATGGTGACAAATGAATGAAGAAGTGTGCTGATTAGAGGGGAAAGGACCATAGTTTTGGTCACATCTGATGTTTGTGTGTGGAGAGAAATGGGCTGGTCCTGGTTTCTGCAGCCCATAATTCAAGGGGGACAAACTGTTATCCGTAGCAGCGAGGAGGTTTCCTTTCTGGGGTTCAAGATCACATTCAGATGCTGGAGTTTCTCCTGGTGCCTCATGGGAATAATTGCTCTCTGCTGCCTCCTGCAGGTTTTTCCTGGGCACTGCATTGCTTGTTGAGGCTGAGGGAACAGGTCATCCTGCTCAGCAGAAGGAAGCAGCTGAAATGGGCTTATTTACCCCTCCTTCTTCCCCTGCCCAAAACCCTGCCCCCTTCCCCATGGTCACTAGCTAGTAGTCCGATGCTGCTTTAGCACTGTATATACATCATCCACTTTGCTGAGTCTCTCAAAGAAAGGCAGCAGGTCAAGAAGCTCCGTGTCGGCCATGTTGTCAAACCACGAAGCCACAGGCACCTGCCAGGGATGAAAAGAGATAAGAGGTTACTGGGTTAGTGGCTATCAGTAATTAAAAGGTGGCTACCAGAAGCAGCCGCTTTATGTAAGCATTCTTCTTCATATGGCGCTGCATATGATGTTGCTACACTATTTAGCTTTCAGGTTGCCAACTGCAAAAACTGCCACTGCATTAGGAAAAAGACCCTCTTAGGTCCTCTGTCTGCACAGATAGAAAACTGTCTCACTTGCCCTCTTCTTCAGCTACACACGTGCAGGTTTGTTCAGCGGAGGTAGCTTTGCACAGCAAGGTGCAGAGGACAAGCCTTCCTAATGAAAACGGTTGCCTCCCCCTCAGTTTAGAAAGCTGCTAGCTCTCCCATTACATACAGCATTATCAGGGTGGAAGACATAAGACGCCGGTGAATTGTCTACAATGATGATCCGTGTCAGATCGCGTCCCAGGCGGCTGAGGTCCTTGACGTAATTCCCCCGGTGGAAGACACACGACTCGCGAAAGAGGCGAGCGCGAAAGGCTCCCCACTTGTCCAGCAGATCAGCCACAGGATCTGCATACTAAGGTCGGACGACAAACAGGTGATAAGAGAAATTAGTTTGACTAGATTCTCCAGATGCTCTATGGGGGTGGGGGGTATTCCTATTTATTTATTTATTTCCCCCCAAATCCTGGAAGTTTTGTATTCCACAGGACTAGATTGGAAATGAAGAATAGTAAGTACTTTCCCCAGTGCAGTTAATAGAACAGCCAAGAGAGGCCTGGCTTTTCCAACTAACTGCTAGTTAAGGCAGACCTCTCCCAATGACTTCATCCAGCTCTACTCTTAGCTGCAAGAGACAGAGAAAAATCCAACATCTACAGTAGAATACTGCTTTATTAGGACCAAGGAAAATGTACAAAAGAATGCCTCAGCTTTGGAATTTTTCAGAATGCTTCATCAAGCAAAATGTTACAGAAAGCATGGGATGAAGAGAAAATCCAAAACATAGAGTGTTGTTTCAAATGGGTGGGAAGAAGGATATTGGGAGCCAGGATTTCTGGATTAATTCTGAGTTTAGAATGGACCAGGAGGTTAACTAGACAGAAAGACTGCCATAAGCATCTTCTTAAGCTCTCTCCTTCTGGTGCCTCATTTCCCCCAGATTGAAGCCCACCACCCTGAACTCTTTGTGAGAAGGAGGGATGATATGGGAAGGAGGAGAATCTCACCTTTGCCAGGCTAGCGGTGAAGAGTACACACTCAAAGAGCTCACCCATCCGCCTCAGAAACTCATCCACGTGGGGTCGCTTCAATACATACACCTGGTGAGAGTAAGAGAAATCATGGAGGGGGATCACGAAGTAAGGTGAAGATGGGGGCTCCACATCCTACCTACTTGGCCAACAAAGAGCTGGACCCAGTTCCTGTCTAAAAGAAGGCGATACTGAGTATCAGAAAAAGCCTACCTGAAGACAGCAAGGAAGACTAAGTAGTAAAACTGGTTGCCTAGGAAATATATTTGTATTTGTTTATTTATGTATTATATTTGTTTATATACTGCCCCTGTTCCAAGACTTTGGGTGGTGACAACTTCAACACAATAAAATACTTTCAGTAAATCACTGGATATAAAAACAGCCACAAAACTGGCCCATGCAATAAAACCTGATCAGAATAAAATCTCAACTGAACAAAATGGCTGAATCACTAAAAGTCAAATATCTCCCTAAACAAAATGGTTTTTCCTGCCTTATGGAAGACCAGTAACCAAGGGAGCAGGTGCGTGTCCAGGAGCAAGCTGTTCCAGAGCACTGGAGTCACCCTGAAGATGGTTTGCTTTCAAGTCCAAACCCCTCTCACCTCTCAAGGGATGAGGACCCTAAACATCCCCTTCCTTAGAAGACCACGTAGGATGGGTAGAATCCATTTGAAGGAGGCAGTTCCTACACCAAACTGGAGCTGCTCCTTATAGGACTTTATAGGTTATAAGCCAATCTTTGAATTGGTCTCAAAAGCTATCAGACAGTTGATGCTACACTGCAGTAGCACGCCTCCCTGCTAGCAGCCTGGCCACTAGGCTCAGTGCCAACTCTAGCTTGCAAGTCATCTTCAAACACAGCGCCATGTAAAACATGTTGCAGTACCCTAAAAGTGTCTTGTCAAGGGCCTGAGTCACAACTGCCAGGAAAGGTTGCAAATGCATACCAGCCAAGGTGGGTACAAGTCCCCTGGCCATAGCCTCTACCCGCTGCTCCAGCAGGAGCCATGAGTCCAGGAGAAACCCAAGACACAGAACCCCTTCTACAGGCTGTGCGTGATCATATCCAGAACTATCACTGGAACTGAATTGAGACCAAGATGCTTCCGGATGAACAGTACCTCTGTGTAGAGGATGGCAGAGATAACAAAAGCAAAAGAATGCAAGATCCATTAGCAGATTAAAAAGACAGTAAATGACATCTCAGCCTGAGAAAGGTCAGAGTATGAGAAAGAGGCCCATAATAAACTCACCTTAATTTGGTATAAAAGAGGGCAGAGGGAAGGCTTTGAAGATTCTGTTATTATGCCACATAACAATAAAACAGAATTCCAGTAGTCCTTGCTGTGTCTTGTTTCCTGATCTGGACTTCCTTGAAGGGCTGATGCTCAGTCCAGCAGAAGCCATGAGTCTAGAACTACCAAGTTCCAGATCTGCTCAAGTGGGGGAGGGCAACCCCAACCAAAGCTAATCCCAGAACTGCTTTAGAACCTCCAGCTTGCTGGAATTTAGTTTGAACTTGTTCCTACCATCCAAATCCTCGGTCTCCAGACGCTGGGTTAGGGCCTCACAGCAGCTCTGTCACAGCATGGAGAACAATGTGCTGTTGAGTATCATTAGCATACTGATGATACCTCACTGCAAGCTGACAGATGACCTCTTCCCAAAGTTTCATACAGGACTAAAAGTGGGGACCTGCACCAAAGTGTGGGTCATCCTTCTCTTGTAACAGAAGCCCAGAACTATACCTGTCATACTTCTCCCTGTGTAATGGGCAGTAAGAATAATCTTGAGGAAGAGGAGGAAGAGCTACAGCCAAGGCGGCTAAGATAAGAGAGATCTTAGCCTAAAGCAGGAGTGGGATTTGAGAAAGTGTCTCAGACTGGACCCTCCCTAGTTCTCTTTAGGATAAAGGCAGGGAGGGGAGAGGCACATTCAGAGTTGCAAGACTCTGTTACTGTGACCCTATCATAAAAGTGGTTTTAGTATTCATGACTTAGGGGTTCAAGCCCGGCCTACCTCAAAGGGCTGACACCCTGCATAGTATTGAAGATATATGGCCCCAACCTCAAAGCCCCTAACTGATCTATGAAACCAAGGTACTTCTAGATGTGGCTGTTCTCTTGCACTTGCTCTGCCTTATTCACTGAATTTTACCAAGCATAGAGATAGAGATCAAAGTGACACCATCTTCCATTTGTAATTCCACCATAATTTATCCATTGCTTCTTTCAATTTTTTTTTGTTCTTTCGCAGGAAACCCATTATTAAGAAGAAAAAGTTGGAATAATTCTGCATTGTCTTTTAGTCAGTAGTCCTAAATGCCCTCAACCTTGAAGATCCTCCAAATTCACACAATTCAAGAATGGTTGTGAGAAGACAGCATGTACCCTTTGCACAAGGGATCAGAGCAAGAAGACTCCCAGACTTTGACATGCAGCACATAATGTCCATCTGAGATGGTGCAAACTCCAAGGTATGGAACGGTACAGCTGGGCTATCTCATCTGAGAACTATTCACAGCACCTGAGAAGCATGCTGAGCTGTTGATTTCTCTTTGAATGCGAGCACATATCAAGTCCACTGTGATTGATGCTGCTGGCTGCCTCCAAGGCCAAGTAATCGAGAACAGGCTGACTGCTGTACCTACAGCCTATCCTGGATTACTTGAACCTAGCCACAGCCTTTGTAAATGGGAATAGCAAACACGATAAATATAGAGGGGTATAGGATTTCAATTTCAGCTCTACCACAGTTCACCCTGACCTGCTTTTGGGAGTATACAGGAGATTTCCTTATGTTGAATTAAACTATTGGGTTCACGTGGTCCAGCGATCAGACGTGTTCTTACTCTATCTGGACATGCTGGGGTTGAGCAGAAGATCTCATACAAATATATGCTGTACTACCATATGGACCTTTCCCTCAAGCTACTTTCAAGGGGTACTCCTATAGCAACCATTTCCAATACAGGTTGAACTATGAAATTTGTCTCCCACATTAGGACAATACAGGCTGGCCACAGTCTCCCTTCTCCCACTTTCCAACATAGATTCCGTACCTGGTGCATGACCCCGTCAATCTCCACTGGGATGATGAAATCTGCATTGTTCACTGGCTAGAGAGGGAAGAAGGAGGCACAAGGTGAATCACACCTCCTGAAAGATTTCTTTCCACTACCCATCTCCCTGGTTTTGAACAAGTTATTTTGGAAACACCTTCCTTGGTTTCTGTAACAAGACCAGCTTCAGATTTTGCCCTGACCACAAATAAGTCATACATCTCCTTCGCTCGCCCACTCCCTCCAAACCAGTGAAGGGACTCAGGTTGGGGAAGGCTCCCACAATGGAAAAGGTTTTTAAAAAATAGCTGTTAAAAATGTTACTTAATAAAACTGGCTGGAATGAGAATCAGCAAATGGCCCCACTGCTCATCAAAAGGGGAGAGAGAGACAAAGTGAGCAGTGTGTATTTGTCTATATATATATGCAGATACATGAGAAAGAACTGACCTTAAAGGAACTATGCACTAACGTCTCATCCAAGTCAATGACCACACAGATTTTACTGGCATCCTGGGGCTTGATTTCTGGCAACAGGTATTTGACTGTAGCCTGCAGAGTGAGAAAAGCAGAGACATGTATACATAGGATGAAACATCTGGATTGCAAAAGAAATAGAAGCGAGGAATTTGAAGCTCTGACCACCAGCCTGGGGCACAATGGGCATTAAACCTGGAAAGAACAGAAATGCAGCTCCTCCCTCCTGTGTTTTGTGAAACTGGATGCTGCCTCCTTTTAATTCGCTTCCCCATATAGTATTCAGGGATATTTGGCAGGTATCAAGATCTCTGTCCTGAGTCCTCTATGGAACAATATTAGACAAAAGGACAGCCAGGACCAAGCTAAAGAGATTGAGGATTAGAATAACTTTTCGGGGGGAAATTATGGAATTATGGAATAGGGAATGGGCTTGTAATGAAAGGGGGGTTTCATTACAAGCCCATTCCCTATTCCATAATTCCATAGCTATAAAATGTGGGTTGGGAAGATGAAGTAGCTGCAATGGGGTGCATTACACTCGTAAACAGGAGGTGCAAGTTCTGAAGCCAAGACTAAGCATTGCAGTTAGGCAATTGGGCAATAGAGGGCACTACTATTAAGGCTCAGATGGTCTAGAAGTGAATCAACTTGGAGCAGCAATTTAAAAGGAGCTGGTAGCTCAGCAGCTCTGAATAATTTAAGCCTCTGATGATCTCCCGAAATCAGCTAGCAAATTCCTATATTAGCACCATTCTTAGCTTCTTAATCATTTTTTTAAAAATCTATCAGTTAGAGCAGCGTTTCTCAACCTTAGCAACTTTAAGATATGTGGACTTCAACTCCCGGAATTCCCCAGCCAGAGGGATGCTGGTTGGGGAATTCTGGGAGTTGAAGTCCACATATCTTACAGTTGCCAAGGTTGAGAAACACATTTAGAGGGTGTGTTTATGTTCTGCCAGCCCAGCCCCCATAGGCATCAAGCTACAAATCTTGAGGAATGCTAGAAATATAGAAGGCTCTAAATAAGGCCCTAATCTTTTTCTTGAAATTAGTGGGTGGCTAGCTTAAGTCACTAGTGTTTGGTTTTGAATAGTCCAGCGCAAAGACCGGTTAGCTACTTGTTCTATTACAAAGTGTTCCTTCAAATACTGACGAAACTCAGTCTCTAACTAGATTGCCATCTTGCAACTTAGACACCAGAGAAATACTAGACCACACAGCCATGACCCTTCTTGCCCATCTCCTCAAGCTTGTCACCTGTCCTTTCATTGTCTTTGGGCAGGTAAGCAAAAAGTGATCATGGGACAAGGCCCGCAGCCAAAGGCATTTTAAAGGTCTCTTTCCAACCTCTATAATTGCCCTCTGTGTGAAATTTAACTAATTCTCCTTATCCAAGTACAAGAAAGCAATTAAAGCACTGCAGAGGATAACTAATACATATTGAGTGGTCTGGAATGGGCATTCTAATTTCTCAAGCTGTTTTCTGGTTCTCAGGGCTTAATGTCACATGACAACACCCATTAAAGTACTCTCTCCAACTTAGAGCCTCGGGTTTTACTATTTTGGAGCTCACAATATTAACATTTGATCAAGGAGCTAGGGAATTTTGCCTGGAGTTAAACGTGGCCCAAGAATCCTCAATGGGCAGAGATGTCATGGGCTGGAATAAGGGAGTGGGCAATACCCCTTCTCTTAAATCTAATGTATCCTTTCCCAACATAGCATCTATTAGATGTTTTGGACTATAATACCCATCAATCTCAATCATGCACAGTCATTTCTTTTGCATGCTGGGAGATGGGTGTTTTAATCCCACATATCTGGAAAGTCTTAGGTTGGGGAAGACTGTTCAAGAGCTCCTACTACAAATGGATCTGTTGTTCTTAGGAGCACCAGAGAGATTAGTTATATCCTGTAAGGCAAGATCCTCAATGGTCAAAAAGCCAGGAATCAAACAGTTAAACATACCTTGGTCACCGAACCATTTTCTTCCACCAGCAGCGGGGCATTGTTGTTGACAGGGATAGGCTCTGAGTTGTCATGGCAAAGGCAGCAAAAGAGGGATTGGAAGATGCTGCGATTCCTGGGTTTCTTGGAAGATGATTGGTTCTGAACACCTGCAGGGTTGGGGGTAGATGGACAGAAAAGACAAACAAGTGGAAATGAAACTGCACGGCTGTCCTGCCAAGATACTTTGCTGCCTGAGATAAGAATAAGAGGCATCTCTTCCATTCCATGCATACAAGCCAGGTGGACTGCAGGAGGAACCCTTCCTCAACCCAGAGATAGGACAGCATCTTTTCCTGCATCTAAAGGCCGTCAGGAACACAAGGCTGTGTAATACATAGCTCTCAACCCCAACACTTTGCTGCTGCCTTCCAGCATCTGTTGCCTGGAGCACCTGTCTCGTTCTGCCTAACAGTAGGGCTGGCCCTAAGGAGAGGTATTCTACTCAATCTCTGCCCAAAATGAAAGCCACACTCAAGCATCTATTTTCTTGAAGCTTTCCTCTATCTATCTATCTATCTATCTATCTATCTATCTATCTATCTATCTATCTATCTATCTATCTATCTTTGACCCATCGCAAGTTTGGAAAGTCCCATATCCAAATGCAGTATGTGTGTGTGAGAGACACACATCATGTTACTATCTTGCAAAGTTTCAACATCTACTTAGGCAGCTCTTATAATAGGATTTACTTAATCAGTAGAGTAGCTTTCCCTTCTCTTTACATACTCATGTTTTAAAGATGTAATCACATTTGACGTGGAACCATATTGTCTACGGATGCACATGGTCAAAATACGTTTTATTCCTGAGAAGAAGGATCAGAGGGGAAAAATCATAATACTCTATATACTGTAAGTGAATACTGTAAACCAATGACTTTGTACCTAACATCCTACTAGGCTGGTTTTAGCATGGGTGTATATTGATTCACACAATCATTTTCTCAAGTTACTACTTTAACACTGGGTATAAACTGCCAATGAAAAATATCATCTGTGAGTGGGTGCATTTATCACTACAAGGAAGAAAGGTTAAAAAGATAAGCATTAAACAGGATATCTGGATGGATGGATGGATGGATGGATGGATGGATGGATGGATGGATATCTAAATAAGCCAACCAACATGGCTATCTGATCAGGGAACTGGGGGGTGTAAGTCTAATGCATTTGGACAGAACCGGCTTGTAGGAGGTTGGACTAGAGTAAAGTTGAGGGAGAGATCAAGCAGGCTGGATCCTTGATGGAGATATGGGGCTTTCCCTAAAAATGGAGAAGTGCCAGACTAAGTGGATGTGTGGGTATGACTACACATGGGGAGAAGGAGGAAACTAACATGCAAATACTAACTCTAATTGTGGAAGGGAAATGTAGTTCATTGGTCCAAGAAAGAAATTAATCAGTACAGAATGAAATAAGAGGAGACCAGGTTGAAGGAATCTGATTTTAGCTGTTAAAAGAGTTTTCAACATTAAGATATTTTCTTAATGTTTCTGATTTTCTGATCTTCACAACTGAATCCATACTTTTCAGGAAGGAAAAGAAAACATCATCTCTTCTACCTAGGTTCCATACAAACATCTACACCTGTTTTATGGAGATGGAAAATATATGTTCCTCCCCTTTCATATTTTCCTTAGTCACACAAAGATCCCAGCACTAGGAGAACCTGGGGCAGTTTTAACCATACATCATTTTCCAAGCTTTAAGTTAGATTCACTTTCCCATCTAATCTCTTTGCTACACCTGGCTCCTGCTAATTCAGCCTCAGATCATGAGATTCTCTTCACTCTAAGATGCCCTGGATCATGGCTGCGGCTAAGACAGAGGAACATATAGCCCAGAAAGCCGGTCTAGCAAGGAAAGTTGAGGGAGATTAGTAGCACTTTCACTCCCAGTACCCCTGGTCTAGAGTCACAAGATCTACTTTCAGTTTTTAGGATCACTTTGTTGCAAGTTAGTCTAAGTCCAACAGACCTCTTTTTTCCTTACCACAACACAGAGATAGAAGCTGGATGTTGCCTGTATGAGACACATAAAATAGCACTTGCAAAGGAATTACACATTTATTTTTAAAATGAATGGACAAGGTTCAAACTCAAGCAGAATTTATTTAGAGCAAGAGCAGTCCCAGGGCCACATGTGGTACCTGAAGCCCCTCACTCTCCATCCATTTGATCCTATCTCTAAACTCCAGTAATACAACTGCCAAAAGTCAATGATGCTGTATCCTGCCATTCTGGGGCCAAAAAACACACGCAAACTGTACCGCCACCACCATCGCCACCACCATGCCCCTGCAAAAATTCAGGAAAAAATAGAAAATCCTTGCTCTGCCCAGATGTGTGACTTGGCCATACCCACTTTGCATTATTGGCCTGTGACACTCGGGGCTCCAGAACTGTTTAGTGTTGTCCAAGCCACCCAAACATTGCCCACCCTTGTCTCATGGGGAAGAGGAAAGATCTTCTCTTTGTTCAGTTTTCCCTTGCCTGTCCCACTCTCCACTCAGAAATGCCCTATGCATGCATGTCCTCTCTGAAGTTCAGTGTGATCTTCCCAAGTAAGTTTGTCTAGGATTGCAGCTTCATTATCTACCTGTCTGGTATAGTCCAGCCCTATTTACTGCAGCCAAGCCTGCCTGATGTCAAGGGGGGAATCATATAAAGTAAACTTACAGTGTCACTTGGCTAGGTCAGACCCACAGGTAGATATTTTGGCAGCTAAGTAAATAAATGTGGATGGTCACAGAAAGGGTCTTCTTACGTTTGATCCATCACTCATAATTAGTGACATGCTATTCTCAAACATGAAGGTTCCATCTTAAAAAGGAATAACTTCTCATAGGCCTATTCTCCATGGATTTATCTACTATAGGAGAAGGCAGTCTGGTGCTCTCAAGAGGGTGTTGTCCAACACTCCCATAATCCTTTGCTTCCAGCTGTGTGTTCTGGGCCTGATGGAAAATGTAGTCCAAAAACTATGCCTAGCACTAGACTTCCTTCTTATTCCTAGATTGACACAAAGCCATCATCTCACTTGTTGGTAATGTATTCAGTGTGAAATAAACTTGAAGTTGTACTTCATGCCTACAGGTGCCTTTCCTTTTCATTCATCCTCATGGGCACACTTGAGTACGGTGCTCTGGCTGTGGTGGGTTTCTGTCTCTCTTCCAAGAAAAACACCAGCTATATAAGCTGGATATGAATCTGAATATCCAACTATGAAGAAAACAGAGTTATAAATTGTTGGATCAGATATTTTATTCAGCCAGCTATGTGTAAACCACAAGGGAATGTCTTAACACGAGTGGCAGGAAATGAGCAGTAAACAAACAAACAATGTTGAGTTTCTGAAGGCAAAGTGGTGACACCAGAAAGATGCAGCAAAAATCCCCCCTTTTCTTCCTTTTCGAGGGGGAGTTTAAACTAAAATAGGTGTACCTAGCATTTTGCTTATGATTTTTATAGGAAAAATCAAATGATCTCATTTCTTTGTTGCTGAATTTCAGCAATGTAATTGGGGGAGGGCATTACAATAGGTTGTGGGCTACCCACTTTGCTCTATATCTTTTTTCTTGGAGGTAGACAGGCAAATTTTTGATGGTCAAGAACCCCTTTAAAATCTGGGGGTGAGTGGCGCCATATTGCACATGTGGGTGGGGATGAGTTTTCTTTTCTTAACCATGATATACATACTTTAAGGACTTACCCTACAGACTCCCATCAGCATGGCAGGAAATGTTGCTGTCAGTTTTCAGCAATCGTGGCCACAGGGGTCTCTGGGGGTCATCCAAAGTAGCCTAAGTGGGCCTGGGGCCACAAATTCCTCATCCCTAATCTAGGACCATTATGATGGAGCTGCTGCCACTGTGAGCAGAGAAATCTAAAGCAGATCCTAATGAGTCAGTAGTTATGAAGGAAAGTTCTTAGTGGGGAGAGCAGAACAAGGCCACTCTCAGACCACAAAAGCTTTCAATTTCCACAAGCTCTTGATTTCAAGAACCATTTGCTTCCTTACAGCAGCAACCCCCAATCACCACTGAGACGTTCAGCAGACTGTTTTAGGAACACCCTATGCTTTGACTGGCAGCTGCATATTGTAAACATGTTCAAAGAGGAAAATATCCCTATTCAAGTCTGCTCTTTCTGATTCAGTTCTCATTTCCTCCTGGAAATATTTTGTGGTTACTGTTTTACTGATAAGGGTAACAAGAACACATCTCATCAGGTAAAGACAACAATGTTTAAGGTGGGCCAAACCAGCACAGCAAGTAAAGCAGACTCCGTACATCAACCATTCAACCTTTTAGAAAAGAAACTTGAGATCTGGGGTTCCTAACGTGAATACAAAACACAGAATTGCTGGGGCAAAGCCTGAATACTGAACAGATTACTAGAGCCAAAATGCAAAGTAAAACATTTGTCATTTGCCAAGAACCATCATGCTCAAGAGCCCAATTCCGGCTTCCCAGCCTGGATGAGAAACAAAATCTCACTGTTACACGGGTGGCACAGGTAAGAAAACAAAAAGCAAAAAACAGGGACCTGGGAATGCTCATAATGTGCTGCGACACTTGAGATCTTCCTCTGATTTCCCAGGAAAAAGTCCAAACCAGCCAGACATTGTAAGTGCAGCAATGTGCATTTAGTGAGCTTCTAGTGAGTTTACTTAGAACTGAGAATATAAGCATTTGAATGTCCCTGGCTGGCTCTAACAAAGAGATCAGAGAGGTGCACCATACACAAAAATCTGTCTTAAAGTTTCCCTTTTATCACTCAGAAATGGGTCTATCCACAGTACTGATTATTCAGTCTTGCAATGCTGCAGATTTTTATTGAAGGTCCCCAAGAAATGCATAGCCCACCTGTTCAAACTTTGACCAACTCACTCATCTCCCACAACCCGCAGGATGCAGGAGTTGTCAGGAGCCTAAGATTATCCATAGCAAATGTGGCAATGGAATGGTCCAAAAGAATTCAACGCCAGATGTTAAGGTGTCCCAGAAGTCCTGCCGTATTAAACAGAGAGCAGAATTATGATTATTCTTGCTGCAACTGAACAATATTTAACCCTTGGCCTCTGAGATTGCTACTAATCAAAGA